AATTGTTGCTGCTCAAATCGAAACGTGAGGGTTCTAGGGTTCTGCATCTTCCTATTCTCTTCAGATTATATTACCAATCTGGAATTTAGAAACAAAACTCTATATAAATCTCTGTCTTCCACTTCTCTTCGCCATTTTAGGGTTCTGCCCAATCTGGGGTTTTCCGTCCCAATCCACGAGCGTCATTCAAATTCAATTGTAAAGAATAGGTTTTTTGAAGTGCACATGAGGGTATTATGGTAATAGGAACAATGGCATTTCGAGTCAGAATCGCGGCTCTCTCGACGAGCCGACATTAGGGTTGTTCTTAAACAAAGACGATGGAGTTTGGGGCTGAGCAACTTGAATTTTCTGTTAATATATTTCAATGTATCTCGCTGTATTTCCATGTATTTCATTATATTCATTGTCTTTTTTTATTGTATTTCAATGTATCTCGCTGTATTCCATGTATTTCATTGTATTCATTGTCTCGTTGTATTCCATGAATGTATTCATATTTTTTTTAATTAATATAATTTATGTATTCAGATGTATATGTGTATTCAAATTGCTTTATTTTTGTTGTATTTATCGGCTGGAAAAATATTCAGCATATTTTCTCTGAAGATTGCTATGTTTTGGGGGTATTGTTCGGTTGAGAATCTTTTTTATAACTGAAAATACAAATTTTGTGTGTTATAATTGAGTTTATTGAGTTATATTAGGAGTCTATTATGTTAATTGATTCACTTTTCGTTTAAAAACAACTAAATAGACCATGAATTGCGCTATTTACGTTACTTTATTCCCAAATACATATCGTGAATACAGTTGAATACAATAATCTGTCTAGCTGTAATCCTCTGTTTCACGCCTAGAAATGCTACTGTATTCATGAATATAATAGCTTAAATACATCGAATACACTCTAAAAAAATTGAAAACATAGCTATAGGAAGTAATATAATAAATGGTAGCTACAACTAGCTAATAACCACTAAAACATAGTGGTTTCTGAAAGTTTCTCTTATAAATAGTCTGTTTGTCCAAACTTCTTCAATCCTAGAAGCACTTTTTGTTCAAAAAAAATATTTTTTTTCAAAGTTGAAGTGTTTGGCCAACCTTTTGGTAGGAAAAAAAGTGTTTTTGAGGAAAAACAAAAAGCAGTTTTGAAAAAATAGAAAAAAGTATCTTTACTCCAAAAGTACTTTTTCGAAAATCACTTTTAAGAAAAATACACTTAGAAACAGTTTTTAAAAGCTTGGCCAAAAACTAATTGTTGCTCAAAAATGCTTTTCGAATTAATTGCACGTTCTGGAAAAGATTTCCACCAAACTAACATGGAAACCTCAAAAAAAGGTTTTGCAAAAACTCAAGCAAATGCTACCCTTGTCAGACTCGTCATACATCTATAATACTAGTAAGGATAGCTCGTGCTGCGCACGGGCCCAATAACAGTATGTTTAGGAGTAGAGCTAAAGTATTAACTATGGATTTGATCAAATCATATAATTTTGATTTAAATCATGTATTTGGATATGTACAAAATATTAGTTTAGACAGTAAATTAAAAAGATTAGAATCCATAACTGTAAACTTCACATTCTAACTTTGCCTCCAAGTATGCTAAATACTCGAGTATAATTTTTTTTTGTTATGAAAAAAACTTCTATTAAAGTCTATCTTGAAAGGATCCTAGAGTTAATCTTATATTACTTGAAATCATTTAAAAGGAAAGAGTATCATAATTCTGTTGGTCCCTACTATGACGTAAAAATCAAATTGTAAAAGTAACTTGCTTCATGATCGAGTTCATTAATTAGCATAAGTAAATTTTTTGCCTAACTTATATGTTGTTATTTAAAATGGTCATCATATTCTCGTTCAAAAAGTATCATTTAATATTTCGATATATATAATTAAGAAAATTATTTATAATATAATTTTTTTAACTAAGTGGTCCTTTGTATCTTCATTTTGAGATTTATAAAATTCTATTTATGAGAAAACAAATGGATATGTGCATTTCGTTGTTGACTTTAACAATTCATCCTCTAACCATATGAGACGGAAGGAAATGAATAATAGACAAGCATTTTTTAGTTTTTCATTTTCAAAACATACGGTGAACTTCATAGTAGCTACTTTGTCTTTTGGATATTTTGACAGTACATATTTAAGTATTAAAAAAATAGTTAAAAGCTGTTAGCTCATTAATTAAACTTAAAAATATAAACGAAGTTTAATTGCTCACATGGCCAAAGAAAGTAATATAATTTTCAATTGACTACAAATGTAGCGCCTGAACTAAAAAATTCAAGCAGGACGCCCTTGTGTTCCTTATGTTATCCTTGGGATAACCTTATATTGCGACGTAGTCGAAGTTTGTATTTTGATATTGCTAATCACATGATATGATAATATTTATCCTCTCCAAAGTTTTTTTTAAAGTCTTAAAAAACAAAGTTAAAATTTGAGTTAAGAGTTTATTCAAATTTATCTAGTATAAAAGCAAATACGCGTTTGAAATATATGATGATATTTTATTTTTAGTCTAATAATGATGACATCTACTAATAAAAATATATTCACTAAATAATCTTGTTCTTTTTTTATCCCCATATTGTAATTCATCCAGTATAATTTCCATATAACTATGTGAAACGACTCATAAGATTACACTTCTTAAAATTCTATGAGCAGTAGTTGTATAACTTTACATAGTGCGGTATTTATGTATAATTTAATTTTAAATCGTTTTAGTTTTAATTGGTCAAGCAATTTATGTGTTTCCCTTGAAATTTCTATCTATAAGTTTAGCTTTCTTAATTTATTATAGATTTTTTCTGCATTTATGATTCAACGTTACTAATTAAAATAATAACTACTAAACAATTTGTGAATTCTCCACATAAGATTAGTAAATTTGTAAAAAATGAGTTGCCAGCATATCATTTTTTCACATATAAATTCATTAGTATTTATTACATTAGAGTAGGCAGGTAGAAAAATTATTAGTTAGTTAGAAATGGAGAGAGTACACATTGGTGTAATAATAGTAATGATAATATTTGAAGTTTGATTTTTAAAGAGTACTTGCCATCATTACTTTTTATTTGTTTGTAACTACAATAGACAACATAAGCCAGAGAGAAGATAGCTATCTCAGAGAAGATAGTTATCTCAGTGTGACCACGTGTCCACTATAAAAAGCAAATTCAGAATGAGATATGAATGAAAGTTCAGATGTCTGTACAGTAAAAGAAAAGCAAAATAACTACAATAACACCCTATATGAACCAATGAAAATAACGTATGCAGTCTGAAAAAGGTTGTAATTTCAAAAATACCCTTTTGCCAGGCAGGCATGTTGACGGAGGGGTGCCTGTGTTCCCTCTTCTAATAAGTAAAAAAATAAGTAATAATAAGTAAAGTAAATTGTTCTCTTTGTTATGAACTAGGAATAAGCATAAAAGGCTGAGGTAAAAGAGAACGATCTCAATAATCAATGGACACTTTTGCAGTGAGGAAAAAACAATTTACACGGAGAATGAAGTTCTTTACTATAAGGTATAGACGACAAGCACTCCACAGATAATTTCAAACTAAGAAATTCCACAGTGAAATCTATATACTGATCTTTAAGCCTATGCATGGTGGTAGAATCTACAAATACATCTACCAAGTGAAGACCCAAAAAATTGTTGATATGGACTTTTAATGTTGCTGATGTTAACTGTCGTCTCTCATGTCTCCTAAAAGAGCTCCATCAATTGTTGTGCAACATCTGCAGCAAAAAGCATGTATAAGGTGAATTGCACAAACAAGCACATTTAAAGTGAAATTCAGTAATTAAAATGCAAATTCCTAAAATATAAACTCGGGGGATTGAAAACCAATTGCCAATAATAAAAAAAAAAAAATTGGCAATTATCTAAAGTCAAACCTATTTTTCTGTTTGAGGAGCCACAAGAAGTAGATGAAATTAAATCTGGCCCAATTCATTATTTAGTTAGACATGATAGTTCAGTTCAATTGAATCATAGCACCTATATAGTAAAGATGGAGGGACAAAATAGTGCAAGCCATACGGATCAGAGCCTGGTCTGATCATCATGAACTTGAGCTTAGTTTAAAATCTCCC